CCCTGCACGAGTAATTTGGAGGACCTCGTAAGAATAAAAGAAGGAAAGACCATCTATCCCTTTGCTCATTATCATGCCCCTGCACAAGTTATTTGAAGGACCTCGTAAGAATAGAAGAAGGAAAGACCAACTATCCCTCTGCTCATTATTATGCCCCTGCACAAGTTATTTGGAGGACCTCGTAAGGGTAAAAGAAGGAAAGACCATCTATCCCTCTGCTCATTATTATGCCCCTGCACGATTTATTTGGAGGACCTCGTAAGAATCAAAGAAGGAAAGGACCATCTATCCCTCTGCTCATTATCATGCCCCTGCACGAGTTATTTGAAGGACCTCGTAAGAATAGAAGAAGGAAAGACCATCTATCCCTCTGCTCATTATCATGCCCCTGCACAAGTTATTTGGAGGACCTCGTAAGGGTAAAAGAAGGAAAGACCATCTATCCCTCTGCTCATTATCATACCCCTGCACAAGTTATTTGGAAGACCTCGTAAGGGTAAAAGAATGAAAGACCATCTATCCATCTGCTCATTATCATGCCCCTGCACAAGTAATTTGGAGGACCTCGTAAGGGTAAAAGAAGGAAAGACCATCTATCCCTCTGCTCATTATCATGCCCCTGCACAAGTTATTTGGAGGACCTCGTAAGGGTAAAAGAAGGAAAGACCATCTATCCCTCTGCTCATTATCATGCCCCTGCACAAGTTATTTGGAGGACCTCGTAAGGGTAAAAGAATGAAAGGACCATCTATCCCTCTGCTCATTATCATGCCCCTGCACGAGTTATTTGGAGGACCTCGTAAGGGTAAAAAAAGGAAAGACCATCTATCTCTCTGCTCATTATCATGCCCCTGCACAAGTTATTTGGAGGACCTCGTAAGGGTAAAAGAAGGAAAGACCATCTATCCCTCTGCTCATTATCATGCCCCTGCACAAGTTATTTGGAGGACCTCGTAAGGGTAAAAGAAGGAAAGACCATCTATCCCTCTGCTCATTATCATGCCCCTGCACAAGTTATTTGGAGGACCTCGTAAGGGTAAAAGAATGAAAGACCATCTATCCCTCTGCTCATTATCATGCCCCTGCACAAGTTATTTGGAGGACCTCGTAAGGGTAAAAGAATGAAAGGACCATCTATCCCTCTGCTCATTATCATGCCCCTGCACGAGTTATTTGGAGGACCTCGTAAGGGTAAAAAAAGGAAAGACCATCTATCTCTCTGCTCATTATCATGTCCCTGCACAAGTTATTTGGAGGACCTCGTAAGGGTAAAAGAAGGAAAGACCATCTTTCTCTCTGCTCATTATCATGCCCCTGCACGAGTTATTTGGAGGACCTCATAAGGGTAAAAGAATGAAAGACCATCTATCCCTCTGTTCATTATCATGCCCCTGCACGAGTTATTTGGAGGACCTTGTAAGGGTAAAAGAATGAAAGACCAACTATCCCTCTGCTCATTATTATGCCCCTGCACGAGTTATTTGGAGGACCTCGTAAGGGTAAAAGAAGGAAAGACCATCTATCCCTCTACTCATTATCATGCCCCTGCACAAGTTATTTGGAGGACCTCGTAAGGGTAAAAGAATGAAAGACCATCTATCTCTCTGCTCATTATCATGCCCCTGCACAAGTTATTTGGAGGACCTTGGGAGGACCTTGTAAGGGTAAAAGAATGAAAGACCATCTATCTCTCTACTCATTATCATGCCTGCTTGGTGCCAAATCTCAATATTTCTTGTCCGGCAGCAACTGTACAGACTTCCAACAGCTACCACTGCTAACCAATGTTGTTTAATCCTGTCAGCTACTGACATCTCAATATTTCCTTTCCGGCGGCAACTGTACAGACTTCCAACAGCTACCACTGCTAATCAATGTTGTTTAACCCTGTCAGCTATTGACATCTACATATTTCCTTTCTGGCATCAACTGTACAGACTTCCAACAGCTACCACTGCTAACCAATGTTGTTTAAACCTGTCAGTTACTGACATTTCAATATTTCCTTTCCGGGGGCAACTGTACAGACTTCCAACAGCTACCACTGCTAACCAATGTTGTTTAACCCTATCAACTATTGACATCTACATATTTCCTTTCTGGCAGCAACTCTACAGACTTCCAACAGCTACCACTGCTAACCAATGTTGTTTAACCCTGTCAGCTACTGACATCTCAATATTTCCTTTCTGGCAGCAACTGTACAGACTTCCAACAGCTACCAATGCTAACCAATGTTGTTTAACCTTGTCAGACAACAGCTACCACTGCTAACCAATGTTGTTTAACCTTGTCAGACAACAGCTACCACTGCTAACCAATGTTGTTTAACCCTGTCAGCTACTGACATCTAGATGTTAAGGCTTTACGTTGAATTGTGTATTTTTAATTATAAGAAAGGATAGGGACATAATGTAGAATTGACGATAGCAAATATCAATAAATTTCCTGCCCAAAGATATTATTGCTTTGTTGGGCCATGAACCAAAACACTTTACAACCCCAGGTCAATTCTTTTAGCTAAAGAATGGCATGTATATACTTACTCAGAGACGTAAAAGGGATATAATTTAAAATTAAGTAACTGACAATGGGAAATATGCCCTTTGACAACCCCAGGTCAATTATTTATACCAAAGACCGGAATGTTTATGAGAACAAATTCTTAATCAGAGACTTAGAAAGGGATATGAATTAACATTTTAAAATTGACAATGGGAAATATATAGATTAATGTTTTGCCTAGGGACATAAATGTGTTGCTGGACCATCAACCCAGACATTTCACAACCCTACGTCAATTATTTATACCAAAGACCGGAATGTTTATGAGAACAAATTCTTAATCAGAGATTTAGAAAGGGATATGAATTAACATTTTAAAATTGACAATGGGAAATATGTAGATTAATGTCTTGCCCAAGGACATAAATGTGTTGCTGGACCATGAGCCCAGACATTTCTCAACTGAAGGTCCATTCTTTTAGCTATAGAATCGCACGTTTATAAATCAGAGACTTAGAAAGCCATATAATTGACAATAATGAATTTGACAATGGGAAATATATAGATTAATAACTTGCCCAAGGACATAAATGCTTTGCTTGACCATGAACTCAGACACTTCACAACTCCAGGTAAATTATTTTAGCCATAGAATGGCATTTTTATATGAAAAAATATGTAATTATTCAGAGTCTTAAAAAGGAATATAATTGACAATAATAAAATTGACAATGGGAAATATATAGCTTAATGTCTTGCCCAAGGACATAACTGCTTTGCTGTACTATATACCCAGACATTTCTCAACTGAAGGTCCATTCTTGTAGCTATAGAATGGCATTTTTATAATATATGTATTTAGAGACTTAGAAAGGGATATAATTGACAATAATGAAATTGACAATGGGAAATGTATAGATTAATGTCTTGCCCAAGGACATAAATGCTTTGCTTGACCGTGAACCCAGACTTCACAACCCCAGGTCAATTCTTTTACCTATTGAATGGCATGTTTATTAATCAGAGACGTAAAAGGGATATAATTTGAAATAAAGTAACTGACGATGGGAAATATATAGATAAATGTCTTGCCCAAGGACATAAATGCTTTGCTGGACCATGAACTCAGACACTTCACAACCCTAGGTAAATTGTTTATACCAAAGAATGGCACGTGTATGCCTAATCAGGGACGTAAAAAGGGATATAATTTGAAATAAAGTAACTGACGATGGGAAATATATAGATTAATGTCTTGCCAAAGGACACAAATGCTTTGCTGGACCAAGAACCCAGACACTTCACAACCCAAGGTCAATTTTTTTAGCCATAGAATGGCATTCTTATATGAAAAAAAATATATATGTAAACTGAATTGGAGACTAGGGAAGTGACATTCCGCGGCATTGTGGAACTAGGAAACCACATCATGTAAAACATTGGAATATGGACGTAATGTGATATGGAAGTAGGTAATGGGAAAGAGGCTAGAATGTGAATATAGGTCATAATGAACATTTTAGGAAGACAAATGGAACATTTCTTGTTCAATGTTAACCATCCATATATAAAATGTTGTCAACAATGAACCTCTTGCCATGGAAGCAACACTATAGAATCCACGTAAGATAAGAGCTATACAAGGACATCAAATAATAATGGTACAAATGATGGAAACTAATAAGTGAATAGACTGTCAAGAAACGGTACCTGTTGGGAAGGCAGACGAAGTGGTGAATCTGGTGGTGAATCTGGTGTGAATGAGGCGGGAAAGGCAGGAATGCTGGCAGTGAATCTGGTGTGAATGAGGCGGGAAAGGCAGGAATGCTGGCAGTGAATCTGGTGTGAATGCGGCGGGAAAGGCAGGAATGCTGGCGGTGAATCTGGTGTGAATGCGGCGGGAAAGGCAGGAATGCTGGCGGTGAATCTGGTGTGAATGCGGCGGGAAAGGCAGGAATGCAGGATTGCTGGCGATGAATCTGGTGTCAATCTGGTGTGAATCTGGTGTGAATGCGGCGAGAAAGGCAGGAATGCTGATGGTGAATCTGGTGTGAATGCGGCGGGAAAGGCAGGAAGGCAGGAATGCTGGTGTGAATCTGGTGTGAATCTGGTGTGAATGCGGCGAGAAAGGCAGGAATGCTGATGGTGAATCTGGTGTGAATGCGGCGGGAAAGGCAGGAATGCTGATGGTGAATCTGGTGTGAATGCGGTGGGAAAGGCAGGAATGCTGATGGTGAATCTGGTGTGAATGCGGCGGGAAAGGCAGGAATGCTGGCGGTGAATCTGGTGTGAATGAGGCGGGAAAGGCAGGAATGCTGATGGTGAATCTGGTGTGAATGAGGCGGGAAAGGCAGGAATGCTGATGGTGAATCTGGTGTGAATGCGGCGGGAAAGGCAGGAATGCTGATGGTGAACCTGGTGTGAATGCGGCGGGAAAGGCAGGAATGCAGGAATTCTGGCAGTGAATATGGTGTGAATTAGGCAGCAAGGCAGGAATACAGGTTTTACAGATGAATTTAGAATATGTTGTATACTGGGAGTCCTTGTATGATGGTAGCTCTTATTTCACGTCTGCCTGGTGGAGAATACCCAAAAATATATTGTATTCACAATTGTATTCTCTACGTTGCAGTTATGAACATTTTAAACAAGTCTTAGATTTTGTTTTTCCACTTCATATACTATTTAAAGGTAATACAAAGTTTTGCTATGGGGTTATGGTTATGGTGACTTTGGTTCAAATGAACCTATTGGAAGCATATGCGATCCTACAATATTCAGTGATCATTGTTGCTGTTGAAATCGAGCCTAAAGTTATGAAATTGTAAATAATAAACTCTTTATGTTGTATAGTTCCCTCTCAAGGTCAAGATATTATTTAAGCTATGAAACAATATTTCTTGACTCAAATCGACCGATTAGCTTTTCTCGTTTGGAAATTATATATCACAACTACATATTCTGAAATTTTCATGGTCGCAGCTACCATTGTACGGCCGTAGGCGCTATTTGAAATTTATCAAAATTTACTGGGAGCACCGGTAAATTTTTATATTCAATTTTTCTCGAAAGCAGAAGTGTTTTAGGGGCTTAATTTTCTAGTGCTTATAATACATCCACAGGGGCATCCAAATATATCAAAATTGTAAAGAATCACTATCCACCCAATTTTATCTCCAAAAACTTTGTATTACCTTTAACATTCACCCATGATTATTGAAGGAAAGAAATTGTTAGCAATAGGTCTAAAATGACTGAAAGTTTCTAGAATACTATCATTAATGTTTAGTTTTAAAAATGTCAACATCAAAGTTCATCGATCTCATTATTATCTTTTTAAATTACATGAGATTAATTTATGATCATGGTAAAATATCATGAAAGAATCCTTGTTCAATGGTGAACCAACCTATACCACTTGGTAAGGCAATTTCTTTTACAATTCAAAAGCTGCGATATACCTATCACACATATTGTTATTTTAGTTGTATAGCTTTCTTCAGTGGATATGAACCAATACCCTTGGCAATCCATGATATTACCATCAGTGTTGAAAATGCAGATATCTCATGAATCTATTTTCAGAATATTGATTGAGTTACTTACTGGGCCTCAGTCCGATTGAACTTCTGGCTCAGCATGGATCCCATCTGTGAAATAAGAACATAACAGTAAGTCAACTATATTACTTTGGGCAATACGTTATGTATTATTTGAGGCAGTTAATATTGTTTGTGCTCATCATCTTTTTGTTGGAATCTGAATTATTTATTCATTATTTATTAATATCCACCAGCAGCACAGGCTGAGTGGTCGGCTTACAACCATAATACTGCAATATATGTTTAAACTGAGATGTATAATTAGGCCCTTTTCTCACAATTCTCTGGTCACTTCTCTTGCTCTTTGTCTTCTTTTCTCCATTTCATTTCCTTCCCTTTCCTCTTTCTGTTTTCTATCCTTTCAATACCTAATATATTTCTTCCAATCCTTCTCTTCTAATTATTCTCTGGACTTCCCTCTGTCCATCATATCATCTCTTTCTCCCTTTTCAGTTCTTTGATTTGCCCTATGGCCTTATCACTCAATTTTCCTCAGTATTTTGACAAACATGATAATACAATAACCATGTGATAATTTCATGTATTTACCTTAGTTGTTTTGGGGTCACTGAACAGTGCTTGTTTTATTAGCAGATGGATTTTCTTGTCTTTTTTACATTCATCTCCATTCTGCTAAAAAGTGGTACTACATATTTTGCCTAGTAAAATAATACTCTTTCTAGTAAAGCAAAGAAATTACAATTCATTATGATTTATTATATATACCTCACTTAAGAAACCAAGCAATCCGATTGGTCGAAATTGCAGTTGTGATTTTAGCCATTCCCGTAAAGAAACAAAAGACCAATTAATGGTCCAAGAAAATCCCAAAATCCAAATCCCAGCAAAATTCCAGTAACCGGGAAAATAATATAATCTTGGTGCTATACCCATTGGTTTACGTGTTAAAATGTTCTTTGAGCAAGCGCGGACACCATACAGTTTGTTGTCTTGTCTGTGGTTCCAAACTGATCAAAAATTTCAGTCATTTTTCGTTAGTGATAAACAGACAGCTTCTTAGATTTTCTGTCATGTTTTAACCAAGCTTTACTCGATGAAACGATAAGGTAAGAATTCTTGGTAGATTTTTGTTTGAATATGGCATATAAAAAGGATATCGACTGCTTTAATATTTGAGGTCTGGCTGGTTTTATAATTATATGCTATCGGGAACTCGCTCAGATCCTGCCACGACTCCTCGGCGCGCCACCCACCTAGGTGCGCCTCGGTAATGGCAGGATGCGCAAGTTCCCTTGAGTGTATAAAACCAGCCGGGCCTCTCAAAGCAGTCAATATCTCTATACTATTGTATTTATTTGTTTAAGTCGTCAATTTACATTTTCAGCTTGATTTCTGGGTAAAATCAACAGGTCAGGTGACAGAGCTTTATTACCATGTCACAATTCGGCATACCACTCTTTTCTAATTTTTTTGTTTGAGAAAGTCATTTTTTAATCCTATTTTATCTTTCCAACCATATAAGACTCCAAGATGTTTGCAAAATGTAAGATAATCACATCTTTCCTGAGCAAAAGTTTTTTGTGAGATGGTTCAGTTTGAGAACTGTGTCGCCTATAGTCTCTGTCACAGTCCACGCACTTAATACAATGCACAGTGGTGGAACGATACCGGCTGCACAGGGATACGGGATATGTAATCTCTTGTGTGCACAGAGCATGACTGATGCATTTTCTTCAATTCCAATAGGGTCCATTTAGCTCCAAACGTTTTGATATGGATCAGTTGAATATTTTTTTTCAACATTTTTATCGTGTACATAAATGTTTCATCATAAGTATATATTGTGACTCATCTTTTTTGCATTCTCTTTTTGTTCTACTTTCCATTTTCATTTACCTATTGAAATCAAATTCTTGATTCATTTCCTCAGTGCGTGAAGCCATTTGTTGTTGTTGTCAATAATTGGACCATCAGAATATACTGAAGTTGTGCAAAATACAAACTTTCTTATTGGCAATGATTCTACTTCTATTTTATGCAATATACTTACAGTGCTGGGTGCAGTATTGAAGAACGTAGTTCCTTGTTCCATCTCTGCTACACTGTAGGCCTTTGAGTGTTATAGCCTGGCAGCGTGGCCTTCGTCGATTCACCATTTCCAGTATCCTAGTATGATGAAAATACATGTAAGATATATAATACACTTAATATACTTACTCAAATGATCAAGACAAATGAATGATTAAAATATTTCAGTTATATTTCAGTAATCTGTTCACAATGATGATAACATGAAATATCAAAATATAAAATTAGGTTATATTATTATCAAAGTGTACCGATGCAAAAATCATATATGTTTTAAGTAAATGTAATACATGGGACTTTAACAAATCCATTACTCTTTAATAATTCTTTGAACAGTTTTTAATTAGTTTTCTAAATGTTTGTATGGTATATGTTCATTTTGTGATTACTGCATTGGTAATTCATATTCTTAATTTGCCTATTAATTTCATGAGATCTCTTGACTTATGCATCAAGAAATAATTGACACTCTGCTCCTAAAATCTAAATAATGTATATAAAAGAAACCAAATATGGTGAACGTGCATTTGCATGTCTGTGGAATGATTAAACTGATCATTCAGATTTCAAAATATTTCAAAATACATGTATAAGCTGAAAAACTTGCTTGATGAGAAATATGTAAACCATAATTTATGTCATTCTTTTTTGCATCAATTTTTTTGAGCACTTTCTACATAATGTTACTTTATGAGCTACCAATATTGTTATGATTATTATGTAGGTCTTTTAAGTGTGGTCTTTCAATTCGGTTTTGAAGGTGTTGTTGTAGTATGTCTAGAAGTTTCAGTTATCCATTTCAAGGAAGTTATGATCGTTTTTGTAAGACCTAACAGATGACAAGCAATTGCAAAGATAGCACAATCAATAGCATCGATACACAATAGGCACATGCTAGTCACCATCATAAAATGCACATGTGCATTTTATGATATAGATCTTTCATTCTGTCTCATCAATTCTTGATGAAGTTACCTCTTTACACGTTTTAGATTGACTTTTAATTAAACTTTGTAGTATTAATTTTGAGTACAAGAAGCAAAATCGTTGCTAACTGATTATATGGCAATGATTAATTCTCATGTTTAAAAAATGAACTTCCACCTTGTGCTGTTGATCATGTTATGATCATATGACATCCCTCTCATTTGCTCTAAGTACTGAATTATTAAGTCAACTTAAATTAATTTTGTTCTTCCCATACTTTTATTGATATTTGTACATTTATATTACAAATTTTGCAATATATTATACTTTTGTAATGTTTTTTAATGGAAAAGTGTTAGATCTCATATGTTTATATGAACAAGGCCCTAAAGGATAACAGTGTAAAAAAATCACTGACTAATCAGTATGATAAAACAAAACCATATGAATAACTCATTTTTTTAATTAAAAGTAAATATTAAAAAAAGATTTTCATGGAACTGCAATTACTTCATCCACTTAGGATGTTTTAATCATTATAACGCGAGGTGCACTGTAGGAAACAAAACCCAGTATTACATTTTTTACTAAATAATGTTTTACCCTTTCAACTGTTCGATTATATATTATTAAGATAAGCAACAAACACTAAATATGAATTCTACGATTTTCTGAAGAAAGAAACAATTCTGAAAATCTATCGCTTAAAGGTAAAGACCAGTATTGGTAACGCCCCAATTTCAAAAAATGAAATGGAAGCTCTCATTACCAATCATGTGAAAGAATATGTTTTGACTAATACATGATGATAAAAAATTTGCCGGGAAACCGCCTACTAATTCATATATTTGGTAAATTTGTTTCTCTCATGGTCCTGTGAGAGATATAGGGTAGTCCCATATACATCTTTCTGTGTATAGTGCTTGTAACTTTACGAAGAATGGGCCAAATTTCTTATCATTTTGATGATTCCAGAACCTTGCAGATGCTAGATGCTAGATGATCAACCTTTTCTGATCGATTCCACAATGTTTCTTTCACAATTCAATCGCATGACCATAACTTAAAATAAAAGAATGGACCATTTGAATTTATGTGATATGACCCCTTTTCTTCTAGTAAAGCAGGAGAATTATTGTGACAACTTGCCACAACATGTTTAGGGGACAGATATGCTTATTCTCCTTGGATGTTGTTTGTAATAAAGCCTTAGAAGACAATCTTAACTTGTAGTTCTGAAATGCACACAAAGATTATGGGATATTCAACCAACAATTCCATACAATTTCCATCAAGATCTGTTGACTACTTTTAAAATCTCGTATGTCTGTTGAGAAACCCCCTATTGGGTTATATGGTTTTGCCCGACCCTATTGTTTGAGTACTCACTCTTCCGGCATATAAAGGTCGCGGTGCTGGTAGCACACGCGGGAGAGGTGTCTGGTCTTTCTTTTGCACCTCTCCCCGGTCCTCGTTCTACAGAGGCACCGGTGCGCTACCAGCGCCCATGGCCCCACGTTCACGTTCACCGCGGCGGGCGGCCCATTGTGATCAGGATACTCCATCAATAATTGACTGCAAAGAGAAGAGAAAAACCGAGTGATCATTTGTAAATCATATAAGGACTGTACTGTTTTTATGAGATAATAATTGTAGCATACATTCTTAGACGAGCAAGTTCTAGATTTCTTTAATTGATATATGCTTGTTATGTTATTCGGTTCCTCAATATAATGTTTACATTTCGGGGGCGGATCTAGCTTTTTGCCAGGGGGGGGGGGGGGGGGGGGGGGGGGGGTTGACTAATTTTTTTTTCCAAAAATCGCGCCGTTTTACTTTTTTTTCATTTTCACTTGGCCTCCCAAGGGGAGGGGGGGGGGGAGGGTAAAACGCCGAAACACCCCCCCCCCTAGATCCGCCCCTGCATTTAGATTACTACATACATGCATTCCTTTTAGTCACAACATATTTAACTTTCTAATTTTTGTTTGTAATTGTTCACGTATGTGCAATACTCTTGAAACGCCCAATCCCCCCATCCCCTTCCTAGAAATAAGCCTCCTATGCATCGACACGAGTAATGATGAATCATTCGCAATAAATCTATCGATCAAGGCAGACTTCCTATATGATGCATGATGTGCAGATTTGTGATGCATATTTATATTTCTTTTTTATTGTATTGCGTTCGAAACTTTGCAGATTTCCCCATTTTTAATTTTAAAAAGTTCGTTTCAAATACGTAAGTTTTTGTTAAGTGACTCGTTCTTACTCCTTGCAATAATTTAGAAATATGAGAATTCGAGGCACTCCTGATTACCCAAAGCCACCGGCACTCGGCTATAACAGTAACCATGGATTAATGAAATATATGAGTTTTGTACACGTATATGTAGACCCCAAATTTAATATGCTGGTCCTTCGAGCACATACATGTACATGTATAGCTGTGCGCAAATATTCCATTATTATCAGTAGTTTAAGTTTGTATAATGTATATGCATGTACTTACGATATAAACAGCAAATGGCAAACCTGTATATGGAAGATAACAAGATAATGGATAATCAATATTATATTTTTCAAAAAAATAAATTCATGATAGTTTCAATTATTTATTTATATATATATATATATATATATATATATATATATACCATGTTTCAAAAATGTTTGTATACATATTATTCTAGTAAGGAATGTATTGTCAATCTGTTATTGTTTTATTTACTTTTTTCTGGCATTTTAGGGATTGGGGACTGACCAGACGTAGAATAAAGTCATGTCAGTTGTCGTTTGTCAAGTTAAGCCACGTTCCGTCTTTATAACAACAATAATATATGAGATTTGTAAGGCGTCGAATCTACTTAAAATCAATTTTTCAAGGCGTACTTGTGTCCTCCCCCCCCCCCCTAAAAATGAAATCACCTGAAAAGCATCTGCATATGACAATGAAGTATAGAAATAAAAACAATTATTTGGTGAAAACCATGGTGAAAACCAAACTTCGGCTAATGCAATATCGATTTGTTTATTATTTTGTTTGGTCACAACAGTGCGACGATGAATGAAAAGTACATATCAACGAAGAGAAGACAGTGATGATAATACACAGAGAGAAGGGGGAATAAAGATAAGAAAAAAAGTGATCAATTTTGTGCGTATATTCGTGGACGTGTGTGTGTGAGTGTGAGGGAGCGGCAGGTTCAGTCTGATATACCAACATGTCTTTAAACTATATGATACGAGTCAGTAATAATGTCATGATAATCATTGATATAATGATCACATTGACCTGTTGCCAATCAATATGTCATGATATGTCACACAGCCATATCAGTAACCATACGGATTAGTGAAATATATGGGTTTTGTACACGTACAATATGTAAACGACAAATTTAATATGCTGGTCCTTCGAGCACATACATGTACATGTATAGCTGTGCGCAAATATTCCATTATTATCAGTAGTTTAAGTTTGTATAATGTATATGCATGTACTTACGATATAAACAGCAAATGGCAAACCTGTATATGGAAGATAACAAGATAATGGATAATCAATATTATATTTTCCAAAGAAATAAATTCATGTAAGTTTTAATTATTCAACATTCATTTCTATACATATGTATTGTCAATCTGTTATTGTTTTATTTACTTTTTTCGGCATTTTAGAGATTGGGGACTGACCAGACGTAGAATATTGTCATATGTCAGTTGTTGTTTGTCAAGTCAAGCCACGGTCTGTCTTTATTAACTAAATTGTAATATTGTTTTAATAAGCTGCAGATATATTCCCTTCCCTTTTCCTTGTCTTTTGTAGTTAATTGTGAGTATCGGTTCATGAATCCCTGTAATCTCCCTTTCCCTGTTTTAGCGTGTATTTCTATTTTATAAACTTTAATTTTGTTAATTATATCATTTGTAGTTTAAGGAGCATATCCAAAACAAGCTCTGCTTTTCCATAGGCTCCGCCACTATATCTCTTATAAGTTCAACTTAATGGACAACATTCTGAATAGTGTGTAGCGGTATTGTATGTACATGTATATTATAATCATTTTCAATATGTTGTTACACTGTTTGTAAAATGAGATATTATGGAAACCAATAAACTATCTATCTATCTTATAATGATAACAATAATAATAGTATATGAGATTTGTAAGGCGTCGAATCTACTTAAAATCAATTTTTCAAGGCGTACTTGTGTCCTCCCCCCTAAAAATGAAATCACCTGAAAAGCATCTGCATATGACAATGAAGTATAGAAATAAAAACAATTATTTGGTAAAAACCATGGTGAAAACCAAACTTCGGCTAATGCAATATCGATTTGTTTATTATTTTGTTTAGTCACAACAGTGCGACGATGAATGAAAAGTACATATCAACGAAGAGAAGACAGTGATGATAATACACAGAGAGAAGGGGGAATAAGGATAAGAAAAAAAGTGATCAATTTTGTGCGTATATTCGTGGACGTGTGTGTGTGAGTGTGAGGGAGAGGGGCGGCAGGTACGTTCAGTCTGATATACCAACATGTCTTTAAACTATATGATACGAGTAGGTCATAGAGTTTTGCACATGAATTAAATTTGTTCTGTCGATTCTAGGACAACTGCCCCCACCCCCGAAAAGAATCTGCTTTTTTTCAAAACCAACTCATCATGGTAGACTTCACCTTTGATGAAAAGGGGGGTTATTTTCGGGGGATAATAATTGTCCACGGAGCAGTAATTTTGTTACGGTTCTGCCGTGTACACGCATATACTCTTTCATGCCAATATATATTATTGTGCATGCACTCGCACAAGGAAAGCTAGCTTGGTATACTCTCATCCTACCATTTCCTCCCCTTGAGTATTGTCTAATAATAAGGCACATTGCAGCCACTTTAGAATACCTCATCACCAAAGTAGACCAGACGTTCGTAGATTAACCAACGCTTCACCAATGAAGCTAAATCTACACTTAAGTTTCTTAGCTAGGCTAGGTAAAACTAATCCTAACCAGGGAGGTGATAGAGAAGGAGTGGAAAATCTTGTAGTTTACTCAAACACCTGCTTGAGTTCTATGCTCCGAGCCGCTCTTCCACTGCTTGGAAATTACGGAGGCCAGGCACCAGTTTTACATTTACTAAATTACCGGCAAAATTTCAGGATAAATTATAAACTTTATATGGGAGTTGTATTGGGAATAATGCATCTTTTTTTTCTTCTAAATGTGGTACTCCGCCCTTCCTATAACAATATTTGTGTGCCAGAGTTGGTAACAGAACAATTAGATCCCGATAAACCTCGATATTTTAGGATAATCCGATTATTTTTGCATGTTTTAATGTCCCGTCATTTAATCCATGATTTACAATCTTCGATACCTTTGCTAATGCGTGTTTTTTGTATTTTGCAGTTGGATAAAAAGTATGAAATTACAAAAGTTTGTGTTCGCTTGTTCAACTCATTACACATTCAAAATTGATGAGAAATCATGTAAAAGAACAGCGAACATTTGCTGAGATACCATTTTGTGATGTGGGAATTCTAAATCCTGGTATTTCATGCGCTAGTCTTTAATCTCACCACCTCGTCAACAGTTGCAGATTAGCGCATAGCTTTTCGGCGGCTTGGAGCATGGGGTCAAAGGAGAGCGGCTTGATTCCACTCCTTCTCGATCACCTCCCTGCCCTTACTTTAACCCTAGGCGGCGGAAGTTCATGAACATAAATCCTCTTGCAATGGTGGCGTATTATGAAGTTAAGTCTCACAGGGTATATCAATACCCTGCCAAAACACATAGTATGCTGTTGCAATATTTAAAATGATTTGAAAAACAGTTGGTATTGCAAATAATTCACTTTGAAACATCTTCAAATTATGACACCATTCAACGTAACCACATCACTTGACTTCATTATATAACTTATCAATGCTCACAATCATATACAAAAAAAATGAATGGTTGTTGCGCAAAGTTCATCATAGAATGCTTTCTCTTCTAAGTTTTAAATGATAAATAACCAGATATAACTAACGTGTTGACAAGAAATTATTTATTTGGGTGTTGTATGATATAGGCCTACGAGATAATTAAGAAGCTATCGAATGGCCAGTAAGAATAACCGGGGAAGAAAAGAAAAAGGACGATGAACATTATGCGATTTGCGTTCATCAGTTCGCAAATGCATCTATATACAACTACAACTACCACAGACAACTACGACAACCACCCTCTAGGACAACTACCCCCCCCCCCCCCGATTGATAATTATTACCCTAATTGGTTATTGTCAGAGGGTAGTAGTTACCATAGATGGATATGTCAAGGAGGTATAATTATGTACTAATACGTTTTTTTTTGCTCCCGAAAATTTGAAAAACGCGCCGGCCAAAAATTCGCTCAGTGGGGGGGGGGGGGGGGGGGGGGGGGGGGGGGGGGGTAGTGAGCACCTTTTTTTTTTTTATCCTCAAAAAAATTTCAATTTGCACCCCCCCCCCAAAAAAAAAGGTAAAAATCACGTGATTTTACATGATTTTTTTCTCAAGGGGGGGGGGCCGGCCCCCCCCCCCTGGATCCGCCACTGTCCTAGGGGGTAGCTGTCCGGGAGTAGTTGTCCTAGAGGGTGGTTGCCCTCTGGGGTAGTTGTCCTAGAGGTGGTTATCCTAGGGTGGTTGTCCAGGGGTAGATGTCCGGATACGGACTGCTTGCTACTATACCGGTAAACGTAGACAAATATTGCTTAACAAAAAAATAAACACGGTAACAACAATATGTACTTTTGTACAACATATCCATATCATTATGATTATGGTCCAACATAACTAATAATATGCACAGTCAATAAAAGTTTTAACGAAACATCAAGAGATAGAAATATATTATGTGTACTTACTCTCACGATAGCAAAAATCAGAATGAGCGGGAAACTGTTTCCTACCAGAAAATCTTTTCAGGAGAGCCTTTGTCTATGTTTCTTTGGCATTCAATTCTTAATCTGTTGGTATTTAGCTGTTAAGAAATGGGTTTAGGTTGTGATTAGCGTTCTTCTAGTTCAGGGCGAGCCAGAACAATGCGAAGTTCAAAAGCCTCTTTATAACGACACCCCTAATAGACACCATTCTATTGTCATTTTCAAAGGGCGGGCAAGATCATTGTACGGTTCATTGGACGATGTGGGTCTGCGGGATGGAATGGTTTAGTCTAGGAGCCTGTCATTTCGTGATCAAGCCCATAACTTTAATAGAGATTTATGAAGAGTACACATTTAATAGTAACAAAATAAGTGTGAATCGGAAAATATTCTCAACAAAATTAAACGCGATAATACCATTTAAAAAAACTACCTACTCGTAGATAAACTTGCTTGAAATTCCTTTTTTTTTTTGCCATCATGGTTCATTTTTGGGGTTGCACAAGGTTGGCAGCTGAATCCAAAATTACTTAGACCATCAAAGTCATTGACAAAAAAGTTGTCATCCTAACATAAATTATCAAGGCCCCCGAAGCAAACCCAAGCAAACCCCCATCTAGCCCATGCACAAAACTCTGTCAAAGGAAACTGTATGACATTTACCCCAAAACGAAAACCTGAACGAAACTTTCCGTCGGGAGGGGTTGTCAGACCACCATAAAATGTTGTGGTGGTCTGACATACATCATTAATACATGTATACCATGATTGTGAGTCAAAAAAGGTTTACAACTAGAAAATTGTTAATTATTAAAAAAAAAAATCATCTATGAACAGTAAATTATTATACATCTTATGAAAGAGCGTTTTATCCCAAATCCTTTGGTATCATTTTGTGTGGTATAATTATGTTCACGCTTGGATGAACAGGAGGCATTGTTTGCGAGAGTGCAAAAATCGACTTGCGCCAAAGTGATGCCTACAGTATGTGATATGTTGGGATTAAAGTGAGATAATGAAAATTGAATTTATCAATTAATGATCATATGCATTACATAATGCCTTTGCAGAAGCAAAGTCACACAACACACACACACACACACGCGCGCGCACACACAAATGTTCGTTGATATTACATTGTGTGGCATGATTGTTAGGTATGTTTTGGATCTGCAATGACCGAATTGAACCCAACTCCCAATTCTTTTATTCAAACGTCACATATGCAATTTGGCGCAAGTCGATTTTTGCACTCTCGCAAACAATGCCTCCTGTTCATCCAAGCCTGAACACATACCACACAAAAATGATACTAAACGATTCGGGATAAAACACTCTTTCATAGGATGTATACTAAAAAAAAGAGTAGGAAGCATTTGCAACTTTAGAACCACATTAGTCGCATTGTTAGGCATTTCCTGGAGTAATATGACGTAAAATGGCTTTCTCCTACCCACTCCAAGAGTAGGGATCTTTTGCAATTTGAGAACCACATATGGCGCATTAATGTCCAACGGCACTTCCTGGAAAAAACGAGGCATTCTGATTGGTTAGAAGTTAGAGAAAAGTGATCTGTCACATCGTGAGACGTTGTATATGCTTCGTTGCT